ACGAGGGGAAAGCGTTGGACGGGGAGGAGGAGTTCAATCTGCAGGAGAGGCGAGGTAGTGCGAGGCGGAGGAGGAGGAGGAGGAGGATGAGGAGGAGGAGGAGGAGGAGGAGGAGGAGCAGACCCAATATGCATCAGCGATGCTGCATTGCACCGTCCCGTCCCAAGGCCCTTCCTCGTCCTTGAAAGCCTGGCCCTGTCATTCAGGCGAGGGCCCCGTTCTGAGAGTGACTGGCGTTGCATTCTTCCAGCGCGTCGCCAGGGATGCGAAAGGGCACGGTGACGCAGTGCATCGCGGTGTGTGCGGCGAGAGCCCCGTTTTTCGGAGGAAGGGCCGCCCCCCCCCCCCCCTCCGCGGTAACCTCTCGTGTAAGCTTGCACTTCTGACCACCACGAGCACCGAGCCAGCTTCGAGAGCGTGAGCACCTTCAGCAAAGCGTGCAATTCTAGGGTTTTGTGCAAACACCTGTGCGAAGCGATAATAGGATGAGCATTGTGAGGAGATTGACTGGCATGGTACCTTTATCATCATGAGGTGATGCTGATCTACATATTATTTTTGTTCACTGTGGATGTGTGCCAATGTGAGGTACCCCAGTACAGACACCGAGACGGGGCCGCCCTCTCCCTCCGTGCCGCTGCCGTGTCGGTGGAGGCTGCTCGTGCGGAAGCTGCGGGAGGCTCCTACGTAGCGTTGGGTCGGGCCTGCTCCTTTACAGGAGGAATCTGCAAACATAGTAAATCATACGTCCGGTGACGATTCGTTGTTGACTATTTTTTTTTTTGGGGGGGGGCCATTTTTGATTTTTTGCCGAATCATTATGTGGTGCTGGGTCCTCGATAATAGAGACAGCGCTCCGCGTCACTCCTCCCGCTGCCCTCTCCCCCTCCTCCTCCTTGCCCCTGCTCTTTGCTTGTCCATGATTTCGGCACACCCTCACACGTTTTCGTGGCCCCATTGGGAGCTCCACCGATGGCTCCAGTGGCAGGGTTTGCATGCGTCAACGCAACCCAGGACAGCGCTTCGTGGCCCCATAGGGAGCTCCACCGAAGGCTCCAGAGGCAAGGCCCGCATGCGTCAGCGCCACCCAGGACAGTGTTTCGTGACCCCATAAGGAGCTCCACCGAAGGCTCCAGAGGCAGGGTCCGCATGCGTCAGCGCCACCCAGGACAACGTGCCGTGGCCGCATAGGGAGCCCCACCGAAGGGTCCAGTGGCAGGAACCTCATGCGTCAACGCCATCCACGACAGTGTTTCGTGACCCCATAAGGAGCTCCACCGAAGGCTCCAGAGGCAGGGTCCGCATGCGTTGCCGCCACCCAATACAGCGTCTCGTGGCCCCATAGGGAGCCTCACCGAAGGCTCCCATGGCAGGGCACGCTTGAGTCACCCCCACCCACGACAGCGTTTCGTGGCCCCCATAGGGAGCTCCATTGAAGGCTCCAGTGGCACCACTCCGCATACGTCAACGCCACCCAGGACATTGTTTCGTGGCCCCATATGGAGCTCCACCGAAGGCTCCAGTGGCAGGGTCCGCATGCGTCAACGCCACCCAGGACAGCGTTTCGTGGCCCATAGGGAGCCCCACCGAAGGCTCCAATGGCGCAGTTCGCATGCGTCATCGCCACCTACTTATTAGGCACACCCCACACGGTTCGTGGCCCCACAGGGAGCTCCACCGAAGGCCCCAGTGGCAGGGTCCGCATGCGTCAGCGCCACCCAGGACAGCGTTTCGTGGCCCCATAGGGAGCTCCACCGAAGGCCCCAGTGGCACCGTTCGCATGCGTCTCCCCCGCCCAGGACAGCGTTTCGTGGCCCCATAAGGAGTTCCACCGAAGGCTCCAGTGGCACCAGTCCGCATGCGTCAACGCCACCCAGGACATTGTTTTGTGGCCCCATAGGGAACTCCACCGAAAGCCCCAGTGGCACCGTTCGCATGCGTCTCCCCCGCCCACGACAGCGCATCGTGGCCCCACAGGGAGCCCCACCGAAGGCTCGAATGACACCGTTCGCATGCGTCACCGCCACCCAGGACAACGTTTCGTGGCCCCATAGGGAACTCCACCGAGGGTCCCAGTGGCGCCGTTCGCATGCGTCTCCCCCGCCCAGGACAGCGTTTCGTGGCCCCATAGGGAGCTCCACCGAAGGCGTCAGTTGCGCAGTGCGCGTGCGTTTCCGCCACACATGAAAGCGTTTCGTGGCCCCATAAGGAGCTCCAGCGAAGGCTCCAATGGCGCAGTTCGCATGCGTCTCCCGCACCCAGGACAACGTTTCGTGGCCCCATATGGAGCTCCACCGAAGGCTCCAGTGGCGGTGTCCACATGCGTCCGCGCCACCGATTTCGGCGCACCACTCACACGTTTCGTGGCCCCATAGGGAGCTTAACGACTCCGGTGCCCACAATGCCGTTTTTCGCAACTGCATATGGTTGGGTCCTTCGTCAGGTTAATTTTGGAATATTTCCGCTTCTAATCTGCCTGTAGGAGAACATGCCCGACCTAATCCTAGCGAGAGCCCCATGTCTGAAATGGAGCCACCGTCCACCCTGGTAGCTGTTACAGTCGGACCGAGGTATATGGTCGAGGTCGGTTCGGAGAGGGTGCCCCATTCGGAGTTTCTTAAGAAGCGTCGGGGGGGCGCCACCCCCGCCAACAGCCCCACCGCGCGCCAAAGGCGCTCCGACCCCCGTCGCGGCGCGACGACGAGGCGAGGTTGACCCCCGTCGGGGGGGTCTCCCCCCTCGCTTATTAAGAAGCACCCAGACTGGTGTTCTTCGTGTCTGTTGGATGCTCGCGTGCATCCTGGGGAGGGGGAGGGTACCCTAGGATGTTTTCTGTGTTTTGGCCGGCGGAGGGTACCATGTTTTTGGAGGATGTTCTTCTGGCCTGGGTCCGGCTGTGTTGCCTCGGTACGTCCGTTTTCAAACGCTGCACGTCCCGTGTTCAAGACGTCCGTGTCAACACGTTGCGTGTTGGCTCAACATATTGGCCCCACGTTGTGGCGAACTTATCGCGTCAGACCTACGTTTTCAGTCTACGTGGTGAGCTCCGTATCAGTACGCTACAGGCGTGCGCGGTGCCGGGGCGAGAGCGCCATCTTGAAGACCACCTGTGCTCCATCCTCTCACTTTTCCAGGCGAGCTTGCGCGGCGCTGGGGCGAGAACCCCGTTTCGAAAACCACGTGTGCTCCAACCTCGTAACCGCTCCTACTTTGTAAGACGGGTGTGCGCGGCGCTCGGGCCGTTTGTGCTACATTTTTGTAGCCGTTGCAAAGTTGGTGCTTCAGGGGCATCGGTGGTGAGGAAGTGGCAGGCGCAACGCCCGGCCCGCTTTGCGGGCATGTCTGGATGTGCGGCAGGGAGGAGTCATTCACAGGGCTACGGGATGTATGGTTAGTATCATCATTTTGATTCTGATTATGTTTGTGCTTCTTCTTATTAGTATCTGTATTATTCGTATTATTATTATTCGTATTCCAATGATTGTTATTCTTGCTTTTACTATTCGTACACGCAGTCTTATCAACTTTAATTGTATTATTCTAGTAGTAGTAGTAGTAGTAGTAGTAGTAGTAGTAGTAGTAGTAGTAGTAGTAGTAGTAGTAGTAGTAGTAGTAGTAGTAGTAGTAGTAGTAGTAGTAGTAGTAGTAGTAGTAGTAGTAGTAGTAGTAGTAGTAGTAGTAGTAGTAGTAGTAGTAGTAGTAGTAGTAGTAGTAGTAGTAGTAGTAGTAGTAGTAGTAGTAGTAGTAGTAGTAGTCGTAGTAGTAGTAGTAGTAGTGTAGTAGTAAGTAGTAGTAGTAGTAGTAGTAGTAGTAGTAGTAGTCGTAGTAGTAGTAGTAGTAGTAGTAGTAGTAGTAGTAGTAGTAGTAGTAGTAGTAGTAGTAGTAGTAGTAGTAGTAGTAGTAGTAGTAGTAGTAGTAGTAGTAGTAGTAGTAGTAGGAGGAGGAGGAGGAGGAGGAGGAGGAGGAGGAGGAGGAGGAGTAGGAGTAGGAGTAGTAGGAGTAGAGTAAGTAGTAGTAGTAGTAGTAGTAGTAGTAGTAGTAGTAGTAGTAGTAGTAGTAGTAGTAGTAGTAGTAGTAGTAGTAGTAGTAGTAGTCGTAGTAGTAGTAGTAGTAGTAGTAGTAGTAGTAGTAGTAGTAGTAGTAGTAGTAGTAGTAGTAGTAGTAGTAGTAGTAATAGAAGTGGAAGAAAAAGACGAAAAGTAAGGGCACACAGTGGGAGGACGTTGGAGTTTGGGTACGCACATGGGGTCGCCCACTACCCTTCTTTGCTGGGCTCGTCTTTCGCAATCCAGCAGGTGAGGATGGTGTAGGTGATGCGGAGGCTGGGGAAGAGGAGGATACTGAGGACGAGGTCGATTTGAATAGTGGCGAGCATGATGGCGAGGAGAAACGTGAAGAAGCTTGGCAAGAGAAGGATGCTGATGCTGCATAGGTGCATGAGGGGCAAGACGCTGCTGCTGCGGATGGGAACTAGGAGGAACAAGACGCGGAGTCTGTGTTTGAGGAGAGGGACAGGATGAGGATGTTAATGAAGCTTGTGAGGACGAGGATGAGGACAAGGATGACGACGACGACGGTGATGATAATGATCATGATGCTGCTGCTGATGATGATGATGATGATGATGATGGTGATGATGATGATGATGCTGTTGTTGTTGTTGTTGTTGGTGGTGAGTCTGACTCTCATGATGATTATGAGGAGGAGGAGGAGGGGGAGAAGAAGAAGAAAAATAACAGGGAGGATGAGGAGGAGGAGAGGAGGAGGCAGGAACAGGAGGAGGACGAGATGGAGGAGGAGGAGGAGGAGGAGGCGAAGCTTCCTGACTCCATTCCCAGGGCTCGTTCTTCTTCCTGGGTAGGTTTTGCTGGTCCTGGGGCCCGTAACGGGCCTCCAAAGGACGAAACCACCAAGAAGAGCCGCCGCCGACGACGGCGGCGACGGCGACGACAACGACGGCGGCGACGACGAGGACAGCGGTGGCGCGTGGCGCTCGCCAGATATGGCCGGGCGGAGAACGACAATAATTTCCACTTCGACTTCGACCCGTGGGCGCCGAATCTGCGCAGGCGTGGGTGGCGCCGCTAGGGAGAGGGGAGGAGGGTGCTGGCGGACTGCGCAGCCTGCCGGGGCGGCTGGTCCCTGAGGGACCCATCGAGTCAAAGACACAGGGTGAATTGCATTTACGTGGAAACGGGGGGCGGGAGAGGGAGGAGGAGAAGAAGGAGGAGGAGGAGGAGGAGGTGGAGGGGAGGGGGAGACGAAGGAGGAGGATGATGATGAGGAGGATGAGGATGAGGATGAGGATGAGGATGAGGATGATGATGATGATGATGATGATGATGATGATGATGATGATGAGGATGCGGATGATGAGGATGCGGATGATGATGATGCTGCTGATGATGATGATGCTGCTGATGATGATGATGATGATGATGATGATGATGATGATGATAATGATAATGAGGATGAGGATGAGGATGAGGATGATGATGAGTATGAGGATGATGAGAGGATAAGGAGGATAAGGAGGAGGAGTAATAAGAGGAAGCAGACGAACACACATAAACATAGCAATACGACGAACAAGCGTCACAGTTCGAATAGTCATACGAATACCAAGAACAGTAGTATGATACATACACGTGTAACCATTAATGATACTAAACTTCATAGTTCGAGTAAATAGTCGTGGGAGTTTTTTACGAGCAATAATATTACTAATATGGAGAATACTACGAATCGTAATGCTAATGGTACTGATAACTAGAGCAGCGTATTAATATTACCAATGTGAGTAAGCAGGGATACTAAGAAGATCACGCATAATAATAATTATACGAATGCGACTGCTACTACTAGTATTACTAAGACGAAGCATACTATTAATGATAACATTACCAATACTTGTAATGACACTGATAACAACAGTATAAGAAGAGGAGGAGGAGGAGGAGGAGGAGGAGGAGGAGGAGGAGGAGGAGGAGGAGGAGGAGGAGGAGGATACGAAGCCTGCGGCGCGCACCTGGCTCTGGCCCCGCGGCCGGGCGCCTTCCTCGGCACGCTGATGCATGGTGTGGTGCCGATTCGCACGAGGATCGACGCAGTGCATGCGCTGTGAGGGCAGGGGACGAGGTACCCATGCCGCTACGCTTCCCTCGCCTTCGCCTCTTGGGCCTCCGCGGGAGGCCCTCGGCGCCACCGCCGGCCTCGCCTCGGAACCCTGGCCAGAACGCGCCCCGGGAGAGCTCGCGGGAGCCGCGGCGGCCGCATCGTTCCGCACCCCCAGGGGGCGGGGCGCCGGGCGCCTCGGCGCGCAGGTACCCAGAGGTGGCGGACGAGCCCGTCTACGAGACGGAGCTGCGGGCCGGAGATCTGCTCTACATCCCAGGCGCCACCGGCCTGGCCGTCCCTGCCAGGGGCGCTCGTGGCACCCCCTGGGCGCGCCACGGCGCGAGCCCGTGCGAGCGAGCGCGCGTGCGTGCGCGTGCGCGTGCCTGTCGCGAGTGATCCCTCATCGTTCGGAGGTTGAGAGACCTCCTACCCTGGCACGTCGATTAAGGAATTGGCCGTTTTCGGTTCGCGGGAGGGGGTCGCGGCCGTCATTTTTGCGGGTCCAGGTCCGTCGGTTTCGGTCCCCGGCCGTTTTCACTAAGGGGAGGTTTACTAAAGGGAGGTTTGTTCACCGCCGAATCGTAAGCTCTCAGGAGGTCCAGCCCCGCTCCACCTTCTCCCCCCTCCCGCTTCCCGCTCCCTGCCCCCATCCCTCGCTGCTCCCCCGGTTCCTCCTCTCCCGGCTTATCACCATTATCCTTTTCCTACTCTTTCTCTCTCTCTGTCTCTGTCTCTCTTGCTCTCTCTCTTACTCTCTCTCTCTCTCTCTCTCTTTCGGTTCTATCTCTCTCTCTCTCTCTTTCTCTCTTTCCCTCCCCCTCTAGCGCGCTAGAATATAGATGGACAAGGAGTGCCAAGGAAAACCCGGCACACTTACGATACAGTCAACCACACTCAACTGGGCCACCTCGGTCGAACGTGTCGAAGGGGACTTCCAGGTGGCTATCGATAGCGAGTTCGGCTTGAGCTGCCGTTAACTAGCCGCTTGGATGAGAGCGGCCGTGTCAGCATTCCGAAGGGAGTCACGGTCGATTCCTGCGGCGACGACGACGACGGCGACAAATTTGCTGCTGAGGCGATGAATGTAGGATGAAGTTCCCCTCCGTTTTCCCATCCTCGTCACCCTCCTCTTCCGCGGCCGCGGCCGTTTCGGCTCAAACTCCCTCTGGCGCATCAGCTGAACTGGTCGCCAGCGCAGGTGTTTGTCCGCACCGCTGGGCGCGTACTCCAGTACCTCACTTCGCTCGTGTGCAGCGCATGCCGCGCCCCCAGATGCCGCACCTACCGCACCTGCTGCACTCGCATGGCCCAGAAAGGCTGCAGGACATCGATCATATCCAGTTACATAAACATAAGATTTCGGAGGTCCGTGCGGATTTCTTGCATCGGCGCTGGGCATCCCTGGTGGCGCCTCTGGCACCGCCGCTGGCGCGCTCCGCGCGCCAAGGAGGGGGCTCCAGCGCCGATGCAAGGATCCCGCGCCGCACGGACCTCCAAACGTATATAGTATATATAGTATATATGTGTATGTATGTATGTATGTATGTATGTATGTATGTATGTATGTATGTATGTATGTATGTATGTATGTATGTATGTATGTATGTATGTATGTATGTATGTATGTATGTTTGTAGGTAGGTAGGTAGGTAGGTAGGTAGGTAGGTAGGTAGGTAGGTAAGTAGGTAGGTAGGTATGTATGTATGTATGTATGTATGTATGTATGCATGTATGTATGTATGTATGTATGTACGTATGTATGTATGTATGTATGTATGTATGTATGTATGTATGTATGTAGGTTTTGTTGTATGTATGCATATGTACACACATATATACATATATATATACATATCTGCAATTCTTTGGATCCTCTAAGGACACCCTGCACGCAGGCTACAGCAGTCTCAAGTCGCAGCTGCCGCTGGTGAGGAGGCAGTCCGCCACCAGCCCCGAGGCGCTGTCGCTGCTGGACGAGCTCGACGAAAAGCTACCGTTTCACGAGAACAGGCGGATGTGCATCACCGAGCCTGAGAGTGCCGCTCTTTGCCTGGGGCCGTCCGCGCGGCTGGAGCTCACCATCGTCAGAGCGAGGGACATTATCCCCAGCGAGGAGACCGTGATCGATCGGGTCAGGCACACGCCCCATCCTTTTGTGCGGGTGTACCTGGACGACACGAGACAGTTCGAGACTGCGCACGCGGGGAACTCGCGGGATCCAGAGTGGAACTCCACCTGTGAGGTGGACGTTACAGCAGGAAGGTCGATGGTACGCTTCCAGCTGTACGACCAGGACGTGGAGGACGTGGAGGCTGGCGACATGCTGAAAGGGAACCAGGGGTTGACTGTCGCCGACAGGCACTCGCACTCCCTGGGGTTCGTGGAGGTCTGCGTGGGCGACCTGCCCTTCGACAGGGAGATCTCCGGGTGGCTGGAGCTGCGGTTCCCCAACAACCTGCAGGGCACCAGCGTGGCGCGCTACGAGCAGCACCGCGCGCGCCGCGACGACGGCTTCCACAGGGAGATGGCCAGGAGCTCGTCGGGGGTCCAGGGCAGGGGCACCGTGGACCCCCAGGCCCTGGAGCAGTTCTCGGCGAGGATCGGTCGCCGCGGCTCGGTGCTGCAGAGGAGCGCCCGGCCGCTCCAGAGGCTCAGGGGCAGGGCCACGGGGCGGGGCGACGCCGACCCCTCGGCGGCGCTCGACAGCCAATTCAACGCGGGCGAGCTGCTCGTGAGGATGAAGCTGGCGAGGGTCGGGGGGGACCGCTACGACGACCTGTTCGCGCACGCCATTCAGCCCCAGGCGCTGACCTTCAATCCCGTGATTCGGGAGGAGGCGCTCCCGGAGCTCGACGTCCAGGAGGCCTTTGACGATGCAATGGACATCAAATATGCTGTCCTGGACGACTTCCTCTTCTGCTTCGCCAGCTACGCGTGGTACGTGCTGAGCTGGCAGAGCAGGCTGCTCTCTGGGATCATCAGCGCCTGCGTCGTGGCCTGCTGCCAGAGAGAGGACCTGCTGTCCGCATGCCTCCACGCGGTCCTCGCAGCACTCCTGGTGCTGAACGGTTTCGAGGGCCAGAGGCGGGAGATGACGACTTTCGGACTGAACGCCCCGCTGAACAGCGAGGGCTTCCGTGCGGTGGCCAAGTGGCGCAGCGTGCTGCAGATGGAGGCGTTCCTGGTCCGCGCGGTGAAGCACCGAGGCGGCCAGATCGAGCTGGAGCGAGAGCTCCGCGATTTCGTGATCAGGGGCTTCAGGAAGGGCCTGCCCTCCGCGACGCTCGAGGACGTCGTGGGCGCGCTGAGGGCCAAGGAGTGGGTCACCTTCAGCGGCAAGGACAGGGAGGAGGGCAGGGTACGGGAGGGCAGCCGTGTGAGGATTCGCGAGAGGCGGCGTGCGACAGTGGACCAGGTGCTCCCGCTGGACGAGGGCACGGGACGCAGGCAGGTCGTCGTCCACTACGATGAGGTCGGCGACGAGGAGGAGCAGCTCCACACGGAGACCCTGTACGAGGACGAGGTCCACACTCGCACGGTCATCCCGACAATCCCCAGGGTCCTCCTCTCCAGTAAGGTCAAGCAGGATATCCGGAAGCTGGGCTGGAAGATCGACTCCTGCAAACGGTCGTCGATCATCCCGATGCTGCGATGGGTGAGCGACGTCCTCACCTGGAAGGCCCCGATGTTCACGAGCCTCGTGCTGGTGTACTTGATGCTCCGGGTGCTGCTGGCCCTCTTGCACTTCGAGATCGCGAGAAAAATAGGCTTGTGGATGACGATCAATGGAGAGGAAGCATGTTGCCAACTAATTTCCAGCTGTCTATGTTTAAACCACGCATCAAACATGTAAAACAACATGGTTCAATCATTTTCAGAACAT